TGGAATGGGAGTATAGCTAACTGGAAACACTAAGGCAACATCATTTGAGAAATACCCTAGGAGAACCCGCAGAAAATGGCTCAGATTTGGATTGGAATGGCTCCTAGCGGAACCCACACTGTGCTAAGAGAGATGCTGACCTAATAATCTGAAGACCTGGTTTGTGGTCCTGACCGCTGCTGGTGACTCTAATATCTTTAGAAAAGTCAGCGAGCCTCCCTTAGACTTCATTTTTTTCATGTATAAAATGGGACAGGGTAGAGTTAAAGTAGGCATTAGATTTTATCTCACTTTCTTTGGCCTCACTCTTGAGTGAATTTGTAACATCATACGTCTATAACACCGTCTTCCTTCAGGCTCACTAGCACATACTCTCTCTGTCTCTGTTCTGTTTCTCCCTCTCTTTCTCCCACCATCTTCCCCCCTCCATTTCTTTCTCCCCCTCTCCTTTTTATTCTCCATCTCTTCTTTTCCCTCTCCCTGTCTGTTATCTTCCCTTTTGTTCTTCCTCGTCTCCAAAAAAATGGGAGTACCCCATCCCCTGAGTAAGATGGGCTAACGCATCCTTTTTTTTTTTTTTTTTCCTTTTTTGTCTTTTTTACTGACCGGTAACGGGATCGCAACCCTTGGTGTTGCGCCCGCACCGCGCTCAGCCAGTGAGCGGGAACCGGTCTCCACATGGGATCCGAACCCTCGGCGGGAGCGCCGTCGCGCTCCTAACAGGCGCACTTCTCCAGTGCGCCACCGGGCCGGCCCCTAACGCATCCTTTTAGACCTCTTTTTCTCCAGAATGTTCTCCAAGTTATCTAAAACACAGATCAGTTCAAATTTTGCTTGTATGCCTTGCTTCCTAGACTAGGGTACTGTCAAATTGATCTTTGTATTCTTAGATCCTGGTACACTTCCTGGCCAACAGAAAGCAATAAGTAAATGGTACTGAACAATGGGATCATTTTATACTCTCCCCCCTACCCCCCATCCTGTATCTCCTCTTGATTTTTCTCTGCTCATTTAAGAGCACCATAATTTTTTTAGTCATTCAGTCTGAACCTGTTAGCTGTGTCATATCCATTCACATATCTCAAGTCCAAGAAGCCAGAGTTTCTCAGTTGTTCTTCCATGTCAGTAGCATCTGCCCTGTCTGTTCCTGCTGTCACCCTCCTTCCTTAGCCCAATTCTCCTTTAACACACAGCAGTCTGTTGAGTTCTCTACCTTCAGTGTCTCCACACTCAACACAGACTCCAAATTAATCTTTCTAAAGCAGGTGACTTAATTTCCTGCTCAGAAACCCTCAGGGACTTCTCATAGCCTATTAGATCATGTTCAACCTCCTACCGTGACATCCAAAGTTTTCCTCGTCTTTTTTCATCCAATTTTTCGTACATTATTTTCTACCAGATACTTACACAACAATCAAATGGGAATACATATTTATTTTTCCAATTGTGTTCTACATTTTTATTCATCTTGTTTGGTATTATTTATAGAAACTATGTCTCTAGAAGTTGTCTGTTTCTATTGAAACCTAATGCAAATGTCTCCTCCATTTGGCAGGTGAAAGTTACTCTTCTCTACTGGGTCCCTGTAGCATTTTCATTCTTCTACCACTTAAATCATATATATGGTTTATCTATTTTTATTAGCTTATCATCTTTAATATATAAATGATAAGCTCCATCAGGTATAGTATTCTGTTTTATTCACTTTATTATCTTTCACAGTGTTTTGGAGTACACTTTATGTAAAAGACAATCTATTTTTGTTTTTTAATAGATGAAGTAATTGATCTAAACATTTTAATATGACCTCTCCGTTGCTGTTTCTGATAAAACTTTACCGTGCAACTTTTTCCAATTCCTTGTTTCTTTCCCAAATGTCTTTTTTTTTTTTTTTACCAGAAAGCAAAAATAAATAAATAAAGAGAGGGAGAACAGTTATATAAAATCACACGTATGGAATACCCAATAAAAATTTGAAAACTGAAAAGTCAAAAAATTGAGGCAGAGAAAGAGCAAGCATCTAGCAAATTCTGAAGTAATTGACACATAGTACATTGATGTATGTAGTCTCCACTGTTTTAACAACAACATATTTTTGTTGTTATTATAAATATCATTTACTGTATTTCCTCTATGAGCCATTACCGTGCTAGGTCATTTCTAAATAATTTAATTCTTAAAATAGTTCTTAGTCCAGCTCTTAATCAATGTCTTTTTGCTTTCAGCTATTCCATAACAATTCAAGTAAATTCAGAGGAGTTGCATGGTAGAGTACTTATCAGATGAGTTTGTGTGTGTGTGTATACATATACATGTGTGCATGTGTTTGTGTGTATACGTGTACATACATGCATGTATTTATGTGTGTATATATGTGTATGTGTGTATATGAGGGTACTTCAAAAAGTTCATGGAAAGATTTGTATTGTCTTTTAGATCTATTTTTCCACAAAGTCTTTGAAGTACCCTTGTATATTTGTACCCACACGCACCCCTGATAACGTCTCACCTCGACAGAAACAGAAAAAAAATTAGGGCACATAGTAATTAAGAGAAAATGTGATTAGACAGTGACTCCCTCTGAGTTATTGTAGATGCCATGGAGCTTAAAACAATTGAGTTTTGATTTTTAATCCTCTTTGTGTATATGTATTTAGTTTATTTGTTTGAGTATGTTTCTGAATATTGTCCTAAGATGAGGGTAAAATTGTTTAAATCAGTGTTTTAGCAATAGCAGGGCAGTTTGTAGCATTTCTTCAAACCATGGAGAAAAATATAAATTTCAAATTACATATTGACTTTGTTGAAAAATTCTTTGCATCTTAGAAAAACTATTTCCTTCCACAGTTTTTTGTCTAAGTCAACAAAGTATTTGTCACTAAAATTATGATTATAGTTTATACACCTATGTATAGGATTAATAAAGCTGCTCTTTCCTGCTTTTTAATTAGATTTTTTAACATAATTCACTGTTAGTGCCAAAGTAAGGAGCATTTAAATACACCCCCCAAAAATTCTCACTCAGTGCATTTTCTATGTAGTAGGTAATAAATGTATCTTTTGCCAGTTCTCAGACATGTAAGAATCGAGGATGCAGAACTATTCTGTCTTCTTTCACAGTGTGGAAACTGTCTAGTTTGCTTTTAAAGTGGTTTTAGAGTGCAGGTTAAGTGCAAACTGAATATTGATACAAATGATGAGAGAGAGTGATAACTTGGAAATAGAAGAATTCATAAAAGGAAATGTCAAATTCAGTGTGAGGGTGTATGAAAATAAGTGCATGAATGCTAGACCTAAACCAACACTAAATAGAGGAGTGAATATTGACTGGTGGTTCCTCTCATTGCTGATTGGGAGTTGTTCATTTATACACTCCAGGTGTTTTCTTGGGAAATCTTACTTTGTCATTCTGATGCTTTCAGAACAAAGCATGGTCTAACCTGAACATACCTCTAAATTGTATCTGCTTGCTCTCTAGGAAGCAGCTAAATATCACTGTTTACCTGGGAATTTTTAGGGTTATCCTAGCAATAACTCCTCGGTCATCTGGTAGGCCAAAGACTGTTTTCTGTCTAACTGTACTAAATTGAAAGTATCATCACTACACTCTTGTGCCTAGATAGGGAAAATGTTAGTATAGATCTGAACATATAAAGCAACCTAAAAAATGATTAAAAAGCCACTTCTTTCTTCCATCCTACCTATGTGCTTAAGATAACACATGAAACAAAAATGGTAAAATAGTCTTAAGATTGGCAGATAGTATTTAAAACCTAGTGTTAGATTCCAACAAAGATTGATTTGCATGTATGTATATAGATTTTTGTAGTTTCTAGGTTTTGAATTAAATGGCCTCCAGAGTTTATTTCAGATTGCACATTAAAAATATTGAACTAGAATCCCAGTTTGGGCTGGCCATCTGTGTAACATGCTGATTAGTTTTACAGAAATGTGATTTTAATCTCAAATAAAAAATTATAAAAACGCCCAAGTTGTATTTTTGGGTATTATTTATTTTTCTTCCTTTATTTTCTACTGATTTCCATTAGCAGGGACGTTGACTATCCTTAGTGAGTTAAGGGAGGCACCAGCAAGGCTTTGACTTTGACCTTGACTTTTTTCTTTTTGTCAAATACGTTCATTAAAGTTTTGCTATGTATTGGTTTCTTTACTGTGTAGACTTTGCTATGGCCATAACTTTCATAGAGTAATTATTTTGATTAAGTTAGACAATTAAAGTTAGTCTTGCATGAAGAAAGAATACACTTGGGAAGCAGTGATGAATGGACTTCAGTCTTTAGAGTGTTTAGTTCTGCCAGCAATTTCCAGTTGAATAGAAATTTACCTCCCAGTTTGGTTTGGGTGACAGTGAATAGATTGTCAGACCTGAGTGTTTTCTAGAAGACAGAAAGAGATTAAGAAGAAAAGAAGGCAATGTGAATATCCACATGGCTCTTTATAATTTTTCTCAGATTTTTTTTACTTTGATGAACAACATCATTACTGAAATAATTAATGTTAATTAATGTCTGCGTCATATTTTGTAAATGGTAGTTTAGTGCTACAATTAGACTAATTAGTATACAACATAGATTGGTGACATGACAAATCATAGAGCAGAACATGTTGACTCTTATCCATTATGATATATTAGTTAATTCACTCGCTCAATAATGACAAAAGAAAAGAAAGAGAACTGAGCAGAAACAACAGCAACAACTATTAAGTCATTGTGGCCACATTTCAGGATTTTATTTTTCTACGAAGTACTATGAATTGTTGACATTTTACATTTCATTTATTTTTCTATTGATGAATCATATAGTCCGTGGATGAAACCTTCAAAAATAATATCATGAATAAATAAAGAAAATGAAAATAAAAGATGACTTCCATATTTTCCTGGATTTGCATATGCTATATCATGCTCAGTGTTTTATTTTTCCAGGATTATTCATGGTAAAGTTGACAGCTGTCTGCAACTTTGATTTATTTTTCAGAACCTATGCGAACTCCAAAGACTTTAAAGATTGCTGAAATACAGGCAAGACGCATTGCTGTGGACTGGGAATCCTTGGGTTACAACATTACTCGTTGCCACACTTTTAATGTCACTATCTGCTACCATTACTTTCGTGGTCACAACGAGAGCAAGGCAGACTGTTTGGACATGGACCCCAAAGCCCCTCAGCATGTTGTGAACCATCTGCCACCTTATACAAATGTCAGCCTCAAGATGATTCTAACCAATCCAGAAGGAAGGAAGGAAAGTGAAGAGACAGTTATTCAAACTGATGAAGATGGTATGCTCCTACTGCCTTATTTTATAAAGGGGGAATTACATAACAGAACTAATGTCATTGCTTAAAATTTTCCTAGATTACCCACTATTGAATTGGACTCTGAAATCTGCTAAATTCTCTTCATGAGGTTAACTTTGAAAAAAGTTTGCCTTTAACAAACCTTAATATTCTTCAGAAAAGCATCCAGATATTAAGTGAAATGTACCTCTCTCCTCTTCTCTTTTTATACACTAAGAGGCAACTACACTAAAAGCTTAAATACAACTTTCCTTGTCAAACGTTAAAAAATAATATTCACTGTCCATCACACTATATAAGTTACCTATTGGTAAAATGAATTTATTAAAAATTTTAGGTTTTGCATCTTACAAACCAGTATAGCTGCTTTTATTTTCCTAACATTTGAAAACAACACTGTTTCCCTATTTGATTTATTTTAGACAGTTTTATGTGAATCTAAATATAAAAGAAGGCATCAGTTTACATTTTTAAATCTAAAAAAAGACTCATATTAGATATTAATAAGCTATCATTCTTATATATCTTATTACCATCCAAGTAACTGAACTGTACTTTGTACAATTTCTGTGTGTTACTTCTGAATAATTAAACAGGAACAAATATTTATATTAATATTATATGCACACACCTTCTATAGCACTCAGTATACATTAATGTGAAAATCAATACATTTCTTGATTCAACAGAAATGTATAAAAAACAATCTACAAATGATAATATTCTGATAAACAATAATGCATTCTTTTGATGTAATGGATTTCATTTGAAAATTGTCTCTTATGAATGAAGGCATGTAGAAAAAAGCATGCTATACAGTGAACTGAGGCAAAGCTAAGCTGGGAGTGAAAAATCATGAGCTTTTAAGTCCTGGCTTTAATACATCTGTAACCTTAGCAAATCTTTTCACCTCTCTAGCTCTCCATTTCTCATCTCTAAATGAAGGGTTAGGTGATCTCTAAGGTTCTATCCCTTTCTAAAAATCTTTTTGAGTATCTTGATAGTAGGGCTACATTTTTATTTGGGTTTCAGGAGAAAAAAAGATGTATTTTATAACTAGGTGTTCCCAAATTTCCTCAGGTTCTGAACTTTAGGCTCAAATGTATATTTTGTTGTGTGCCAACTATGAGATTTCTATAAACTAGGTTAATGTGTTGTAGTTTCTAGAAATACTCCCACTGTGAAAAGTAGAAATGACCCTGGTTTGTCCTGTTTTTTGTTGTTGTTACTGTGATAAAGAGAAGTGAATGCCCTTTAACCTCATGTAGCTCAGACTTTGAAGGAAACAATTAATATAGTCCTACAAGTATACATGTAGTCATTCCCATACTCCTGAAATTTTAGAGGATAAACTTAAGACTTATTTATGGTAAATGTACTTTTGTCATGTTTGAGGTAATCAGACATGATTACCTTAGCTATCAAGTTTGAAATTGCACCTAATTAAAGAAGCAACAATATTTAAATAGCAAACCATGCTCTAATATATAAACATACACCCATACATTCCCCTTCTGCCCAACTTTCAACACATGTAAGAAAGAATAGGTTAGGGGTCATTGTTTCATAGGTGGATGATAGAAATGGGAAAAATCTCTGTCTCATAAAGTAGGGTAAATGTTACCATGTCTATATCACACTAGATATTTTGCAGCCCATGTTTTTAGTAATATGTGAACTCACATGTTTTATTGCCTGCACTTGATTTCTTAATTGGTAGTGTTAGATTCAGTTATGTGAATTTTGTACTTCTTTAGCCAATTACCCTCTAACAATACAATTTATTTTTTGTTATATCACACAGTTCATACCATTCATTTTGATGGTATTCTTTGGTATGGTTTGTTAGTTTGCTTTTCCCACAAACAAAAGAATGCTATCAGGCTTATATAATCTTTTTCACATTGCATTAAATTTTTTAAATGCATTTTTGGGCACATATATGACTGCATTAATAATCAGGGAATGAATTGCTATGGAATTTTAAATTATGCCCTAACTTGATCAAATTTGTGACTGTGCTGTTTATTCCATCCAGAAGTAGTTTGTAAAAGTAAAATGACATTAACTATATATTCTAATTTCAATATTATTTTTAATTCTAGTTTTATTTTAACTTTTTCTTGGAAGAACTTTTTTACTGGTTTTAATGATATTAATTTGCAAGTAATTTCATAGTATGGTCACAAACTAATCCCTTCTACTATGAGTGGGTTTTTTTGTTTGTTTTATATTTAATAAACAATAAATGTACAAACTTTCTATGAAGTATATGGAAGTAACTCAGTCTTCAGATATGCCCATGAGAACTTCAGTTTCTACGTAGAATACTTGAAGTGTCTTAATGTTCCTGAGGAGGAAAAGAATATCTAAATCATAATCTGTTGTTGCAGAGATAGGTAGATTAAGATGATCTGATTAAGTCAGTCTTACTAAATTATTGCTGCCCTACATAAAAAAAAGAATAAATTATCAACCATCTAATAGCAGGATATAATTTTATTAAAAGAATTCTGGGGACATCCATAAATCATGAGAGCAAAGCTACAACAATTTTCCATCAGAACCCTAAGGTAGAATTTATATCTAATTTATTGCATACATTTTTTTTAATGCCTGGGCTGAATTTTTTGTATGAGGTTTTGTTTTCAGTTTTTATTCCAGCGTTCATGAAAATCAGTATTACAAAGTTAGCTCAGCAGAAAAGCCTAGTTTGGGGACAAATTTTTAGAATACAAAGCTATTTTTCAATGTACATTTATTACATTTTAAAGACTATAATGCTTATTTAATATAATCTTCTCCCACCCATATTTCATTTTTCTTCTCTTTTCCACTTTGAGGGTTATATTTTAAAGAACTTTCAAAAAAATTAGCTGAAACGGCTTTCATATAAATCCCAAGCAGGGGAACGAAAGTCAGCATTCTGTCTCCATTAAAAATTGTTGATGTGGAAATGTGAAGTGACATTCCCTGCAGTCTGTAGACTGCCATGATAATGGTTTTAGTAACTTTACATTGTATTTGCACAAATCATAAGTATATAGAGACATTGTACGTATAGAAACATCTTCCTTCAGATGTAGAAATTTATTGAATATAATTGGCTTGTGCCCACGCCTCACCCCCAGCTGTTCATGTGTGTGTCTTTTAGTTCTCCTAAGTGTAGTTCTTTCTCTCATCTGCTGTACTAGTCCAAGTACAGTATCTGTAGTATGCTGCTCACTTGTTCATAATTTTCCCACGAACTTTTCCCTTCTTACAAATGTGACCTCTAGGTACTTGAAGTGAATTCTGTAGACAAAGTACATGTGCATGAAGAGCAAAGAAATACAAAAATTCTGGGGAAGCTACTTTGCAGTTATACCCGTCTTTAATGAATTATCCTAAACCATCCCTATTTGTGAACAGTTTGAAATACATCCATGCCATTTTATAGTATTTGTAGGCCAAATTATGTTGGGTGAACATAGGCAGTTATTGAAAAGCCATCAAATAAGTATTTACTAAGTGGAATTTTTGCTACCTCCTCCCCCTGACAGCCATCTTCTATGAGAGATATGTAAAGGTGAAGAAATATATTTTCCTTAATTACAAGTATAAGCTTATGTCATTTGAGTCAGATGAAAACAGCAGGTACTCCTGTAGAAAACAAACCAATGCCCATGGCAGCTTCAGCAGTTTCCACAGATAGTACAGAGGGGCTGTCACTGGTCCTCTGCCTTGATGGGCTGCACAGCCTGTGTGGGTACTGTGGAGCAGAGTGGGTAGTGGATGCCTTTGGTTAACTGCTCCCTGAGCCTGCAGCTGACAGATGCATGAGCATATCGTTTGAAGTTGCTGACATCTTCTCTGTTTACTGCGTGTTTCTTTCCTTTATGAATTCATTATTGATGTGCCAAATTATGTTGCCTGTCTCAGAGGTCATAACATCATTCATAGTCTCCTTGTAGATTGAAATAAATCTTACTCTTGTGATATATCATTCAGAATTGCTTGATGCTGCTAGCCACGATGCAGTGCATTTCCTTTGATCTGGTAATTTTTAATTTATTTCAGTCCTCACAAAATTGCGGTACACTTTGAAACTACATTTCTAGATAATGTCATGTATGAAGTTCACCGAAACATTGGATTAAGGGGAAATATTAATTAAAAACCATACTTGCCCAATATTGGGTTGATATTTTCAAAAGGAAACAAGTTTTTAAGCCAAGTAGGATAGGTAGTATATATTTTAAAACATTACCAGAACTAGGAACTGGATATTTATGTGAATAAATAGCAGCAAGTTACTTAAATAAAATATAGAAAAGGAAAATAACACAATGGCAGAAGTATCTCGTATCTTGCATATTGTCAATAGAAGCTGACGCATCCTTCAGCGTTGCCACTGGATATTGCCAGTTATATGACATTTGCAAATAAGGACTAGAGTGAAGGCTCCTCAAATCTGGTCATACCTGGGGACACTTCAGAAGTAGTTATGCAGATTGTTGAGTTCTAAGCAAGTCTGATGGTTAAAAACTGGTTTGATTCTTAGCTTTGAAAAAGTGGATTTCATTTACAAGATTGAAGCAATGATATTTGAACCTTTTCATTTTTAACAACTTTAAAAAAAATATAATAACCAACAATACCTTTTTCTAAAATTATAGAAAATTTAGTAAATATAGCTATAAAAGTCAGGTTGACTATTAATGGACATTTCTATTTGGTGCTATGTGATTTGCTTCTGAGTCCAAGGAGTGTTAATTATTATTATAATTCATTATTTTATGAACTTTGTTTATGGAAACTCTTTAGGGAATTATCATAATCTTCAAAAAATCTTTCAGGGAAATACAGCTCTGTTCTTGAAACAAACTACAAATAAGATCTTCATGTTATTAGAGGTGTACAACAGAGACATCTAGACTACATAATTTATGCAACCCTCTAAGGTGATAGAATATTCTTCTGAATAAAAATAACTGCATTTCTACATTTTCTGTGTTAGAACCTTATAGACTTACTTTTAGTTCCCATATATCAAACTAAAGTCAGAAAACTGTTCATACAGATTATTTTCTTTTTAAGAACACATTATTTTATTTTACATTTATTTTTTATTTTGTTTATTTAGCTTACATGATTTTCTTTGCATGTTTCTAAGGTAAGCATTCTTATAACCAAAATGCTTGTATTTGTAGTGCCTGGCCCTGTACCAGTCAAATCTCTTCAAGGAACATCCTTTGAAAATAAGATCTTCTTAAACTGGAAGGAACCATTGGATCCAAATGGAATCATCACTCAATATGAGGTATTGAGAGAACAAGGAATTTAACTGAAATGTGGACTGAAGAGATAAGAGGGAGAGAAAAAGGAAAAAGTTAGAGGGAAATAATGGAAAAGAAGTTAAGTGAGGATTAGGGTACTAAAATCATTATGAGTTCTTCTTTGTTTTAATTTACAAATTCTTTGACTCCAAATCTGAGTGTCAAAACAGTATTTTATGCTATCTAGGATTTTCAGATTCTTAAAGTAAGTGCATTTTTTTGTTGTTATTTTGTTGTTTTAGGGAAGGAGGATTGTCCTTATCAAACAGACTTACATATTGTAATGGATAATTACACATAAAACCCCCAATTTTCCTTTTTATAAAGTTGAACTCATACTGTGATTTAGGAGAGGCCATTAAATGTCAGCTGTTGCAGAGTAAGGAATTAATACCAAAAGAGTAAAAGAGATTATAAACCTGAGTATTCCAAAGCTTCATCTCAACTTTGAATATCCATCATTATCTTTTCAAATATGAGAAGCTAAAAAGAACAAATGAAAATATCATTTTAATTGCACATGTGTACTTCTGTTCCTGCTTAATCAGTGTTGATGAGAGTATAAATGCTTAAGATTCTAATTACTACAGAATGAATCCTGAGAATGGGTATTACCAGCACAGTCTTATATTTTGTGACTGTTAGCATACTTGAACAGAATTTATGTGAAATTTGTTTTGTAACTTAGACAAAGTATAGAATAATGTTAATAAATATTTGAACACTTTCTGTGTTTCTTATACATTAAAATATATAACCATAAGTTTTTGTATATATGAATGCATATTTAAGTATATTGATTTAATATTTGATGTTTTTTGATGGAAGAAAATAGATATATATTGGTATGATCAGATATAACTCTAGGTATGTCTGTAGACAGATAGATAGATAGGTGGATAGAAATACATAATAATAGAAATAACCATATCAAAAAAAGAAGGAAAAGAAGTGGAAAAAAATGATGATTCACTCCACAAGGGTGCCCTTGCATTCTACCTAATTTTAGAGGGCTGTATTTACAATTTATTATGACTCGTATTAGATATGTAACAGGAAATATATTTCTTAAAACAGGTCAGCTATAGCAGCATAAGATCGTTTGATCCTGCAGTTCCAGTGGCTGGACCTCCCCAGACTGTATCAAATTTGTGGAACAGTACACACCATGTCTTTATGCATCTCCACCCTGGAACCACCTACCAATTTTTTATAAGAGCCAGCACAGTCAAAGGCTTTGGACCAGCCACAGCCATCAATGTGACCACCAATATCTCGGGTATGCAAATAAATAATCACAAATAGGATTGATTGTGCTCTTCGTATGTAATAGCACGTTCTGGAGAATTACATATACACCAAGTGTAGTTCATCTCACACATTAAATCTTAGGTACAGTTACTCATGATTGAAGGCACTTTAAAGAAGTATTTGAATACAAATTATTATTGGTTACATATGTCTAAACCCAAAAACTTCTCAAATAGTCACTTTCAATTTACAGTGGTCATTTAAAAAAATACATTATATCTTTATTAAAAATCTTTCAAAGTGTATTGTAAATACAAATAGACCTTATTAATCTCCTGAGGAGTTGGGAATTATTATATCAGATCTTTACTACAAAAGAATTTTATCAAAAAAATGATAGAAGATCCTTGCTCTAGTACTGTAGTACCACATAACTTGTCTCTGTTCTATTTTCAGTGACATTTTGATAATTTTAAACAAATACAGGCTTTCCTTTCTCTCTTATAAATTTAACATAAGTGCATCTAAATTTCAAAATGGGAACATGCATGAGAATTTTTGGTTTATAAATAAATTTAATTAAATTTTATATTCTATTATGTTCGGTTTTATAGTTTGCATTTGACTAGATGGTTTACAGATGTTATTTTTCCATCAGTCAAATCAATAATTAAACCTGATTAAATTCTTGCTAGGAATTAGCATTGTAATATGTCCTAAATCTACTCCAGTTTATATAGTGTTTTATCTTATTTATTTAAGATTACTGAAATAAATATATATAGAACATATATATAACTGAAGAATTAAATTTGAAAATAAATGTTTTAAAGTCAGCCTAACATATTAAAATACTAATTTTGACTTTGTAAATTGTTTTTGATCATTATGTTCATATTCATTATAGTTGCTACATAGCATATATTACTGATATATCATAATACTCATTAAAAATGTCTACTACTGTTTGCAGCAAAAGACAAATACTCTCTAAATTAGTTTGAGTCTAAAATTTTATTTGGAAATGTGTTGAATATAGTACAAACTTTGAAAATTTATCATGTGTAAATTAGCCATTTTAATATGAGCTATAGTTTGTTTGCATAACATATAATTTATCTTAATATTCTAGTTAAAAAGAATTTTAAAATATCCATTATATCATTAAAGTAACAGTGTATTTAAATTGTCATTTTATTTGCTCTGTTTTTCTTTCTGATAATATGCACAATTTCACTGAATGTATACTTCCTTAAACATCTTTCTACACAGAAATAATCAAAAGCCTTTTGGCATCACTCTTTTCACCCAGCTCAACATTAGGAAGCTCTCATCCCCCTATTAAATGTCAAATATTTTGAAAATTGATAGGTTTCTTTTTTCAAGAATCTGGCAACTGATGCACTAGTTCATGGTAATTAAGCACTAAGGTTGCCATTCACCACACTTAATATGTTTCTATTATGACCACAGTGGTGAAAATGGTCCAGATAAGTATAGTGGGTCTTTCCACAACCATTAGTTCATATATAGCACTTCCCCGCCAGGCAGCCTTTTACCTTTCCTGCCGTTCAACAACAAATCTTAGCTTTATAGCTTTTGGTGCCTTAGGTTCCTGGATTAACATTCAGTGGCAGATGTTATGTTATAAATAAGGTACATTGTAGATAACTAGGTATTAAATTGATTTTTCCCTAAGTTAGGATCATTTATTCATCCAACCTATGATATATTACTGTGAATTGATTGAACTCTTTTTTTCTTTTGGTCTCTTTAATCACTTATCAGCTCCAACTTTACCTGACTATGAAGGAGTTGATGCCTCTCTCAATGAAACTGCCACCACAATAACTGTATTGTTGAGACCAGCACAAGCCAAAGGTGCACCTATCAGGTAAGAGGGGAAAAATAATAGTTATAGAAAAAAGCAGCCAGTAGAAGAAATGTTTTCTCATAGTTGCTTAGCAACCAATAAAAGTGGCTCACTTGTAAGTGACATTCATTTGACAATTACTGTCAGGAAGCTTTTTATTTTTGTTTTTGTTTGTTCGTTTTTCATTCGGACAAAGCCTACAGATAGACCTGTAGTTAAAAGCAAAATCCTAAGGAAATTTTTGAGATATTCATGAATTGAACCATTCACCCTCTCTGTGCTGTTTGATTTAAGACCGTTACCTTTTTTTTTCCCCCCTCTAGTCCCATTTCATTTCACGTCTTCTGTTGGTATCTATGGTATAAAAGCTTTGAAGATATTTGTCAGAAATGAGATGAAAAAATAACTCCTGCCCAATGCAGTAAATCAGTTATGAGTAATTTTTTATGAGTGACTGAAAAATAGGGAGCTTTGAAAAAATAAAAGCAGAACAGATATAATGAATGAAGCCTATGTGACTTTTTAATTCCTGGTTTATTCTTTAACAGGAATTCCATGATAAATACTAAAGTTCAATTTGCCATTTCCATTACCTTTCCAATATTAAAATCTCTCATATTACCTAATACCACTCATCATTCAGAAAATTGTGAACCATGTTGTTTTTATGGGTTGAATCAAATTATTCCAACCATTTTAATTTCTGCACATTTGTAATTAGATGAATGTTTAAAGCTTAAGTTTCCATTTGAAACTTATAGATTTTGTGGATGTTTTGTTATCAAACTTCTGTTGAGAAAAAAATCAAGGTACAGAAAACAGTGCAGGTATTTCATAATTGAGTCATCTTAGGTTGTTTATATGTTCTTTTAAAAAATTAAAATTAATTTTTGTTCTTTGTGTAAAATGAATACATTTGACCATAACAGCACATATTGTTCAAATAATCCTGTATCACTGAAAAAGAAGAAATATTTTTCTTAATTAAAACAAAACAAACAAAACATTGATAAAAGAACATGAGTCATCAAGGAAACACTTGAGTCCTTTCTGGCTAAAAGTCATGGAACAACACACCGGAGAAAAAGAGAGATGGCTGAGTGTACTTGTAATATAAATACTCGTGAAGCACTGGCTACTTGAAAATTCAAAGTGCGTATAAGGCGCTATTCATGAATCAGTGATCTGTGAGTGAATCTGATTGCTGATCCTAAGGAAAAAAGAAAAGATCTGCATTCAAAATCTTCTATTGACAAGTAATTAGGGTCATTCACATGTTGCTACCTTTGATAAAATTTACTTCATAGGTTCAATTCTGCTGCTACTGTTTAAATGAGCTGCCAGGTACTTGTATTTTCTTTTAAGAGTTAGACATTTGAGTGAATTCAGATTTACTTTGTGTCACTTGCAAACACAGAGTATTTGTATTATTATTATTATTGCATCACTGTGCTGTGTAACATAACTTATCTTAATTCTTTAACCAATCGCTTTCACCAATGTGTATTGACCATATATTAAGTGGTAGGCATTGTGCTAGGCATTGTAAAGGTAAAATGACCACAACAAAACACAGAGCCTGTATCCAGATTTGTTATATACTATTAGAGGTGCCTGCAGTCTTGTAAATCCTTTGCTCATAGCTGGTGCTGAGTAACTTCGTTGACTTAGTATGCTATTGATAACACATTTTTAAATAAAAAGTATTTTTCCCAGTTTGTTTACCTTTATTTATCACATAAATTCTAATTACCAAGAATTCATATAGTCTGAACTAATGGTTGTGCAAAAGTGATCCTTAATAATCACATATCCTCTTTCTCTGACACAGAAATACACCTCTTTGTGTTTGTTGGTAAGACATTTGACCTTTTCTGGAATTGAGCCTGAATTATATACTGTACTTAATCCACAAAAAAATAAATTTAAATTTTGTAATACTATATGAGGAAATAATAATGATAATATAAACAAATAATAGATTTTTTTAAATGAATGTTACTACTAGGAAAAAACAGTATGTTTTCCAGCTGACGTTCTAATCCCACAAATTCATCTTTAGTTTTTTGTGATGACTTGCCCAGCTCACCTATAGGTAGGTGACAGGTGGCAGACCAGACTGGTCAAGTCAGGCAATTTGGCCTCAGATGAGCCTTCTTACTTTGCTCTGTGAATCTTTGAATCAGGTACTGCTGTCTTCTTTCCTCTGACCACATTCCTACCTTCGATCTCCCTAGGAGTAACTGGAGTCTTATATTGAGGCTTATCTAGTCCGGTGTCCTAATTTCTTTGAAAATGAGGGGACATACTTGGATGTAATCAAGTTTTGCAGCACTGAATTTATGGTTTGGTTCCTCAAAGTTTTGATCTGATCTCTATCACTCCCTTCAGATGTATTTAAAAATATTTAACTTTCCAACCAATATCTTCTTTAGTTATGTCAGCCTGTCAGAATCTCTTCTCTGGTAGTATTTTAGGTCATTCCACCTGTCTGTGGCTCAGCACCCCCACCAACCTCCTCCCCTCACAAAAGAAGCCAGACCTACTAAGCACCCAGGTAAACCTGAGAACATCCAGCAGTTACCTTGTGTGCTATCATCGGCCCTAAATACTGAGTTCTATCCTTTGCTACTTAATAGCATTACAAGCCTCTGCCAGATTGCATTTTACCATCCATGTGTACCAACTCCAGTGGAAATATGTATTCTTTCTGCTGGTCTTCCTAAGGTCAAACAAACTAATTCCAAAATCCTCTGTCAGAGAAACTGGCAAATCCTTGTTATACATAGTTTGTAACATTTAGTTTCATTTTCTTAAGAATGCTGAAATTACCAATGGTTTCCATAAATTTGTTGATTCAGTAAAGTTCTATATGTGCCAGAGCTGAGCTGGATGCTTTGAATAGGAATTTGCATAAGGCAACTCAATATGTGCCCATTAGTGGGGGTGGTAGTGTCGTAAATTGATGACTGATAACAGTGCTGTATGATAAGTGACAGCAGTTAAAAAATGTGGTGCTAGAGCTGAGTTTTGAAGGAGAGGTAGAAATAAGCTTGACTTTGGGTCACTTAGTAGAGGGGGGAGTTTGCCAAGAAGAGAAGGGACAGTTGTCCTTACAAATGATTGCAAAGCAAATGGTGGGATATGGAACATAGCATGATGTCAAGAACAGCAAGTAGTTGAGGTCACTGAGAGTGAAGGGTGTGTGGCAGAAGAGACAGCAGCTGAAGCCACAGAGATGAGCGGGGGCCAGAGGGAGAGGCTGTTTACTACCAGCCTGAAAACTGAAGGTGGCCACAGAAGCACTGTAAAAATGACAGAAATTGCTATGAGCAATTTTACATTTTTAGAAAGATCACTCTGACACAAATACAAAGAATGGACTGGGGGTAATCTGGACTGAGAGTTGGGATGGTCCTGGTGAGAAGTGCTCATGGACCACATAAAGAAAGTAGCTGTGGGAGTGCAGGTAAGGCTGTGTCTCCTATGCTAGGTTGTAGGTAGGTAGGATGTGTAAATCTTGGTGCGAAGGGAAATGGATGGAGTGGAGACTTCAGGTGAGAGATGATGGTAGCTTTTGTTATAGAAGTGGTAGCAGAGCAAAACATCATCTAAGAATTCAAGGGGTTTTTTTTTGAGGTTTTATTAAGTAATAAATATTTTTAGTATTGCTACTCCAAATTTTAAAAAGTCATGCTCTTTTAATGGAATGAGAAGTTATTTTGTATGTTTTGCCTACCTTAGCAATATTTTCACCAAGTTTTGTCTTTAACAGGTTGTGGCATTTACACAAGTTATAATCAACACTGCAGTGAAAAATCCTGTTGTAAATGATGCAGCACTCATTGTCACCAGCTACTTTGTCCTTCTGTTGCCCATTAAGACTGCATCCCGCTGCTAATGTACAACATGTGGGATGCAGTCCCGGCAAGTGTGGTGCTTTGACAAAATTAATTTTTGGTGTAATCTTTCCAAAGACTGAAAGTTGCTATCTGACAACTAGAACTTTGAAACCTCTTACCAACATTTTGAGATCTATCCTTACAACTTTCTTCACTTGACAATTATTAATATTTTTCAAAATGAATATTTCCCACATTTAGAATCGTTTCTTTAGAATACATAATTTCTTTTTTCTAAAAGGTTTTCTTCATAAATGAATTAAAATTCTAACTTGAAGAGATGTAATTATAAATTATAATACACATAATGTCCCATTTATTAAAAGATTGACCCAATGTAACTGTGTTTTCAAAGAATGAAAATAACAGCAAAATATTGTAAGAACACAGAATAGTTCTGTGATGAGGTGCAGTTTATTGTAAGGTATAATAAATGAATGTGTATTTTATTTTAGTATTTTCCAAGTATAAGCTCTACCTGTTTTAAGCCATCAGGAAGCTATCCATTTCATGGTTACTTTATTTTGTGGGGAAAATATAATTTTTGCATTTTAAAATCTAATTTTTCATATATACTTTTAGTTAAGTAATTAAGATATAATCATGGAATGTAGTCAAAACATCATTTTTTCCACAGTTAAATTAGGAAAAGAAATTGTCTGATGTTCCAAGTTCAGCTTAACAGAAATACAGATCAAAATACAGAAGTGTTTTGTTCAAATGTTGTATGTTAGGGATCTTCCCTTGGTCATGTGGTCATATACACACAACTTTAAACATGACAGCCACCATCCTCATCCATCTGTAAAATAATCCATTTCATCCCGTATATTTAAACAGATCGAATAGTTCTAGCTGATTTTCCTAACCACTGTCATGATATAGAACTGACTTGAATTCTAAATAAAAATGCCTTGGAATTTAAGCAAATAGAGAAGTAATCTTTTTGCCCCATTTTATGGGCATAAAGCTTGTATTAGCCTGAGTTAAATAAGGGAGAGGTTATTTTAATTTTACATTTATTTTACAGAATCATAGGAGGAAGAATTTTTTTTCTAACAGAAAATAGGAGGAAGTATGCTCTTTCTGTTAAATCTTTCCAGCCTTTAGGTGACTGCC